TCATGAGAGTTCTTAGAGGGTAAAGGGAGAGGACCGTGGCTGGCCTCGGGATTGAGACCTCCCCCGGGAGGAACATCATGCCCAGAGAGGCCCTTTGAGACTTATAAGCCACGGACCCAGAGAATGAATTTGTTTTGTTTTAGCCACAAAATGTATGGCACTTTGTTATAGCAGCAACTGGAAATTAATACAAGCCCTCTCCTTAGAAAAAAATTCCACCTGTAGACTAAAGTCCGATTCCCAGCACCCATATGGGGGCTTACACTGTAATGTCAGTTCCAGGGGTTCCAACACCATCTTTTGGTCTCTATGGGCACAGCACGCATGTGCGCGCACACACACACGCACACACACACCACACACACACCACACACACACACACACCACACACACAATCTGCACTCTAGGATGTATTTCCCCACTATTGACCATGTAGTTGTTTTATTTTTGAACATTAGATGGTGCTAAGCATCCACACTTCTGGAGTTGTCAGCCAGCTCTTCTAATTTGAAATAATTAGATAGTCGTTGAAATAGTTGTTTGAGAAAGTGTAAATCCCACTGTTACAGACTCAGAAAACCTGCCCGAGAGTAGCGGTGATTAACAGCACATTGGAGATCTAACAGTCTCTACTGATGAAAAAACTCAGAGGGTCAACTCATTTTCTGTCTGCTGTGTAGGGTTGTCTACATCCCCTCAAAATGTGAAAATGTAAGGAATAGCATCCCTTCAGAATCCCCGAGCACCAGGGGGTCACAGAGCACAAACAAGCGATTGGAAGTTGGTGTTCCAGGGGAAGTTGGCAAATCCAGGTGTGGCACAGGCATTTGTTTTCTTAAACACGGTGTGTTTAAGTGTTCGTGCTGCCTTCCTGTCTTTTCTTGAGAATTATCCACTCTACTCCTGTTAGTGTTGAATAGCAACAAAGGCAGCATCACTGGTAAGAGCCCGGTGGGCAGGGTCGTATCTCCTTATTGATACTATTGTGGTTCTGAGACAGCATCTCACTAGGTAGCCCTGGCTGGTCTGTAACTCACTGTGCAGACAGGCTGGCCTTGAACTCACAGAGATCCACCTCCTCTGCCTCCAGAGTGCTGGGATTAAAGAGTGCAGCACCATGGCAGCTTTGATGATGTTTTAGGATTTGTGTCTAGGGCTTTTATGTTTGGCATTTAAGAAACGTGTGTTGCACATTTCTAACCGTACATGCATACTCAATTCTCTTTGTTGAGTTTAGCAGAACAGGTTGCCGATGGCTCAGTTCTGTGGTGTATAATACAGCACGTTACCACTCTGGCACTTGGTGTATCAGAGGGAAAGGTGACCAGAAAGAGAAGCATCCAGGAGATATAAGCATTGACCTCATGGCCGTCTTTGCTCGCTTCCTTTTCAGAAAGAACTGTAGCAGGTCTTTCTTTTTGGCCTTTCTTTGGACTGTCAGCCTCCAACTAAAGGACATGAAGACTTATTATTAATCATGAAAGCTTGCTTTTAGCTTAGGTTTGTCCCACTAGCCCTTAATTAAGTGGGTTAACTTAAATTAACCCGTCTATTAATCTACGTTCTGCCATGTGGCTCTTTCCCTCTCCTCCATTCTGTCTAGTTGTTGGCCATTCAGCTTTTTAATTAAACAAACCACAATGACACATCTTCACACAGTGTACAAATATCCCAGAACAAAGAACATTTCATGTACTCATTTTATTTTGATGTGTGTGTACGTGTGTGTGTACACGCGCGCACATTGTGAGTTTGTGTGCAGGGTAGTGAGTATGGCAGGGTAGTGTCTGCAGAGACCAGAGATGCTGCTGGATCCCTGGATCTGGAGTTAGGGGCAGTTGTGGGCCACCGTGTGGGTGCTGGGAACTGAACTCTGGTCTTCTACAAGAACAGTATATGTTCTTAACCAGAGCCATCTCTCCAGTCCCGTGTGCTGTGTCCTGAGTATGTGCTGTGTCTGAGTATGTCCTGTGTCTGAGTATGTTCTGTGTCTGAGTATGTTCTGTGTCTGAGTATGTTCTGTGTCTGAGTATGTTCTGTGTCTGAGTATGTTCTGTGCCTGAGTATGTTCTGTGTCCTGAGTATGTGCTGTGTCTGAGTATGTTCTGTGTCTGAGTATGTTCTGTGTCTGAGTGTGTTCTGTGTCTGAGTATGTTCTGTGAGTATGTTCTGTGTCTGAGTATGTTCTGTGTCTGAGTATGTTCTGTGTCTGAGTATGTTCTGTGTCTGAGTATGTTCTGTGTCTGAGTATGTTCTGTGTCTGAGTATGTCCTGTGTCTGAGTAAAAGGAACACACCTGAAGGACCCACATTTGTCCCCTGCATGTGAAGGCAGAAAACACATCACTCAGAGAAACTGCAGACTCTCAGTACTGAATGTTGAATGCTTAATTCTGAAAACATGGGCTGGAAACATTCCTGTTTTAGGTAAAGAACTTGGCTCCTCTAAGCACAACTCAAGGCTAACTTGAAAGCCTTCTCCATCCCTCAAGGTCCAACCCTAGGGAGACTTTCTCCCATGTGGGGAAGGAGAAACCAGTTACTCTGCAGTCATCACCCCAAGATCCTTGATCCTGACCTTAACTTTTCTTTTCTCCCCACCCTGTTTTCTCTTGAGACAGGGTTTCACTGTGTAGCCCAGGCTAGCCTAGAATGCTTAGCAATCTGCCCCCCTCAGCCTCCCCGGTGCTGGGATCACAGGTACGCATCAGAATGCCTAGCCTAGCATAATTAATAGTTTTCCATTTTCAGGAATTAGTGTAACTGAATAGTTAAATAGAGGATATCATGTGACAGGAAAGAAAGCTGTGCCAGTGAGGGCCACACCATGCAGAAAGCTATGCTTACAGGCTCACCTCTAATATCTACGCATGGAAGAAGGAACCTGGAGCTGTGGCCCTCAGGTGAGGAGCCAAGGACTGGTAAACGTTTTTAAACTTTGCCACTGTCACAGCAAATGAGAGACCTCTATTATAGATTCAAGGTCCTGGTCAGAATATCCCAGACTGGATATTAGTAGTGCGTAGAAGTTATATGTATATATAGGATATTAGTAGTGTGTAGAATATGTGTGTGTGTGTGTGTGTGTGTGTGTGTGTGTGTGTGTGTGTGAAGGGAAAGAGGGAGACAGACGTGTTCACATGTGGGAGCTGGAGGCTGACATTTGTGTCTTCCTCTATTGCTCTCCACCTTAGTTAGTGAGACAGGGTCTCCCTCTGAACCTGGAGCATGATGCTGCGGCCTAAGGAGCTGTGTGTGAGCATGGGGTGAAGCAGGGCTGGTGGGCACTGGGGTACGCTGCGCTGAGACCAGCTGAGAAAGGCCTGAAGGAAGCCAGGTGCATTTGAAACTCATGCCCGTGACGGCCAGAGGACTCCCAGGTTGAGTCACTGCTGCCACCCTCGTTACAAGAACAGCTTCAGCACACTCAGAAGATGCTAACCAGTGAAGCTATAGACTAGAGATACAGGTGTCAGCCATTACTGTAGAGCTCACTTAACACGGAGCGCTTTCCACAGTCCACTGGCGATGGAAGAGAAGACTCTCATCACCGATTCAAGGGATTGGCCCACCAGCTCCTCGGGCCTGCCTTTCCAGGTGGGGACAACCCTGTGGTGGGATGCTGTTCCGTTCTTACAGATTTCCCACCTCTCCATCTAGCCAGAAGGTGCTGCTCTAACACAGTGAAGCCACAGAGAACAAAATCATGCAGAGGTAACCGGCAAAGCCAGGGATAAAGATGTCAGCTGTGTCTACGAGAACCCAGGCACAAAGATCTCCATTATGAGGGGAGAAGAGGGCTTCGCTGCAGCACGTACCCTCTATAGATAGTTCAGCAAAATGTAAACACGGCATTCTGCCTTCTGATGCTTGCGGCTGTGTAAACAGTAGCCTGGTTCCCATTAGCTTGACTTCCTCCACACACAGGCTTCTGCACTGTGACTTTGGGGCGACATGGAATGATCTGTAACTTTTCTCTCCTAACAGGGTGCGACGTACATGGAATAAAAACTAGGACTTAAAATCGGCAGACTTTTATTTTTATTTTTAACAAACACAGCTTTGCTTTACTGTATAAAATCCCATATGTTATGGGAAGAGCGCAGTGAACGCCGCAGGGACTAACAAAAGATCAGAGCTGGAGTGCGGGCCTCGTTCTCAGAAAGTTGGGATTTCTTCTGATGGTGGCAAACAACACTCAAACAAATACTTCTCCTAAAGATGTCACGCCATCACTCAAAATGTTAAACCGATTATAAAAAGAGTGCCTTTAAACTGAGCTGCAATGTAATTGTATTCAGGATTACTCATTTTACTTTCAAAACTTAGACCAGGAAAACTTTTTTTTTATTTTTAAGTGTAGATTTTTCTACCACAGGAAGCAAACTGCATCAAACATTTTCAGTGTGGGATTTCAGCTTACCCCAACTTAACTTACAAACCTCCCAAGGGTTAACTAAGGAGCCCAGGAGATCCTGCCTCCTTTTACATCCTGGATACTAACCTTCTGCCTTTGCATCTTTTTAAAACCAGTGGGTAAAAGTAGATAGGTGGAAATTGTGGGTGTGTGTCAATACACGGTGATTTTCTTAGTACCTTAGCGGGAGGATTGGAAGTTCAGGGCCAGCCTCGACTACATGAGATTCTGTCTTTAAAACAAATAAAAAGGAAGTGGGGGAGAGAGAGAGAGAGAGAGAGAGAGAGAGAGAGAGAGAGAGAGAGAGAGAGAGAGAGAGAGAGAGAGAGAGAGAGAGAGATTGACCTGGTGTGTTTGGGTTTATCAAGCTTTACCTGAGGGACATTCTAGAATACCTCCTTTGTTCCAGGGGGGAGTAAGTGCCTAACTCCGAATGGGACTTACTCTGTTGACTAGAGGCGTGGTCATGTCAAAAAGCAGGGTGGGGCTATCAGTTAGGTCTCATGTGGTTCCCTTCAGTCACAGATCATAGACGCCTTTGCCAGGCTCTGTGGAAAACCGAGCCTCTATAGCTGCTTGTGAGAAAGCAAGTCACACTCTGCAGGGCTGGGCTGACGGAGGAAATGCTGTCGGCCCGGTTGGATCCTGTGTCAGCAGAGGAGGCCAGAGGGGATGGTCTAGGTCCGGAGTCTCCCCTGGAGTTTCTTCTTCCAGGGAGGATGAAGAGTGGGGGATACCCTGCCACCCAGACTTCCTCCTCATGGTTTCACGGCGACAGGAGGAATGTAAGACACCTTCTGAGAATGTGTGTGCTTGGCTTTCAGTTATGTGAGTGAAGGGGAAAACTTGCCATAATCATTTTAGACGTTTTTATGAGAATTTAGTCTCATAAAATCTAAGTCAGAGAAGCAATTTGTTCTTCTGTTTGTGTGTCTTGAGGACCTGACACTAATAGAAACACTATGTTCATAACTAATAGAAACACTATGTTTATAACCTTGTGATGGTTCCCTCCCTCCCTGCCTCCCTCCCTGCCTCCCTCCCTGCCTCCCTCCCTGCCTCCCTCCCTCCCTCCCTCCCTCCCTACCTCCCTACCTCCCTCCCTCCCTCCCTCCCCTCCCTGCCTCCCTCCCCTCCCTGCCTCCCTTCTTTCCTTCCTTCCTTCCTGAGACAAGGCTTCTTTGTAGCCCTGGCTGTCCTGGAACTCCCTCTGTAGACCAGGCTGTCCTCAAACTCAGAGATCCACCTGCCTCTGCCTCCAAAGTACCGTGACTAAGTGGTGTGCGCTACCATGCCCAGTCTGCGTATTTAAAAAAACTCAGCTCTGTTTGTTTTACCATATACCTCATGGCTCAGTGTGTACATACATTTCCTTGTCACCATTTCTGACGTGTATGTAGAGATTCCTGATTCATCCAGAAATCTCTGATCCAGTGACTAAATCACAAAACATTTCAAAAGGAAATTCATGTATGTTTCATAAACAAATGCTTTCTCTGATATATAGAGCTAGACACTAGTGTTTTATCTGATGACAGTTTCCACTGACTCAAAAGAACTCTTTCATACCTTTAAAAATACTTCTTTTAAGTGAGCGTGTGTGTGTGTGTGTGTGTGTAGCATGTGTGTGTGTGTGTGTGAGTGTGTGTGTGTGTGTGTGTGTGTGTGTGTGTGTGTGTAGCATGTGTGCATGGGTTGCAGAGCCCACAGGAGGGCACTGGGTCCCTTGGATCTGGTTACTCATGGCTGCGGGCCATCCCACATGGTGCAGGGAACCAAACACTGGTCCTCTGGGGGAGCAGTATGTGTTCTTAAAAATTGAGCCAGCCTCTTCTCTCTCTCTCTCTCTCTCTCTCTCTCTCTCTCTCTCTCTCTCTCTCTCTCTCTCTCTTTCTCTCTCTCTCTCTGTCTGTCTGTCTGTCTGTCTGTCTGTCTGTCTGTCTCTGACCTGTGCAGGTCGCCATAGCTGCTGTGTGTTCATTTTTCCAACAGCCGTGTCATATTCACAGGACAGCACCTCACAGCTCGCTTCCCCATTGTGTCATATTCACAGGACAGCTCCTCACAGCTCGCTTCCCCATTGTGTCATATTCACAGGACAGCACCTCACAGCTCGCTTCCCCATTGTGGGGCTTTGAAAGAAAATGTCCCCCGGAGCGAGTGGCACCATTCGGAGATGTGTCCTTGGTGGGGGAAGCGTGTCACAGTGCAGACAGGCTTTGATGGGTCTTCCATTTGCTTAAGCCAGGCCCAGTGAGACAGAACCCCTTCCTGTTTCCTGCAAGTGAAGATGCAGGACTCTCAGCACCCTGTCTGCCTGCGCGCCACCATGTGACGATGATGGACTAAGACCTCTGAAAATGTGAGCCACCCCAGCTAATGTTTTCCTTTACAAGAGTTGCTGTGGTCATGCATCTCTTCACAGCAAAGGAAGCGGTAAGACACCCGTCTCCTGACTCCTGCAGTCTTTTATCCCCTCTTCTGTCGTATTCCCTGGGTCTTGGAGGAGCTGAACAGACATCCTGTTTAGGGCTGACAAAGAGAAATTCAACAGAAGCTTCATTCCATTTGTGAGAAAGCACGCCTGGAGTTATCTTTATGGTCACAAGTTTGGAGCTTTGATTCAACAACTGCATGTTCAATGCTATCTCATGTGTTGTTCTGGGGCCCTTGGGATCTGCAGGGAGTCAAGAGCAGCCCCCTGCCTCCGTGGACCTTGTGTTCCAGCAGTAGGGTAAGGGTCTGGATAGAAGCCCATGGTTAGAGAGTAGGTAGGGGGTGGGGGTGGGGTGGAAAGGAGACGGAAGGGGTGTGAGCAGGACAGACAGTGTGGTCCTCACGGAACCTGAGGAGAGCTTGAGTGTCCACAAAATGAGAGCTGCAAGGTGACTCCAAGCAGAGGACAGGTGCCATCGTTGCTTTTGAGAAGGACCGCTCTTGCTCTTGTGTTATCTTCAATGAAACCACAGAAAGACCGGTGGAAGGCCACTTAGTCATCAGTCACGACAGTGGCTTGCACTCCTAGGTGGAGAGATGGTAGGAGGCGCTTGGGCGGAGTCAAGAAGGCTTTTTGCCAGAGTAGGAAAAGGTCACGGGACAGAGACGGCTGAGGACATCCTGATAGCAGGGGTGAGGACGGGGAGCAGGAAGGAAGGGGCTGGTGACCACTTGGATAAACACCCGTCCCGAGGCATGCCCTTATTTTAGGGTTGTCCCAAGGATCCAGAGAACCAGTGCGTTGACGTCCCTTGTAGTTTGAGTGTGTTCTTTTGTGTCTCCAGTGGTGTCATTTGGGGAGATTCTGGGTGCTTCGGGAGTGTTAAGGGGAGGTTCTGTGCCCTTGGGGGAGTCTAGTAGGAAAAAGTAGGGTCATTGCCAGTATAACCAGACTGGCCTCCACTTCCTGTCTGCCATGAGATGAACAGTCTTATCCCCCACCTGCTGCTGACAGGATGACACTGCCTCATCATCCGCCTGGGACTGTGGACTGAAATCTCTGATACAGTGAGCCAGAAATAGCCCACGCTCTGTGCTTTTCTCAATTCCCAACACACGCCTCCATCTGTGGCTTCAGTTTCCATAGTTTCTGTTGTCTGTGGTCAGTGGCTATCTGCAAATGTTAAATGAAAAATCCCAGGCACATGCAGTTACTAAGTGTTATTTTTTTTAAGATTTTACTTATTTTTATCTTATGCATTTGTGGTTCTGCCTGTATGGGCATGCCTGGCGCCTGCAGCGACCCGAAGAGAGCATCAGATGGAGTCTGGGACTACAGTTGCAGATGGTTGTGAGCTGCCATGTGGGTGCTGGGAATTGAACCTGGGTCCTCTGGAAGAGCAGCCGGTGCTCTGTGCTCTTATCCACTGAGCCATCCTTCCTGCCCCAAGTTGTGAGTTTTAAATGAGGTGCTATTCTAAGCAGTGTGGTGACGTCTCGTGTGAGCTCATCACACCCTTTCTTAGACGGGAGCCCTCCTTGATCCACACTGTATATGCTAGTTGCTCACCGGTCATTTAGTGGCCACGTATGTGATCAAAGGGGCCACTGTAATACTGCAGTGCTGTTGTGGGACACTGTTTTAGGGAGACATAAACAAACATCTAATCACCCCAGATAGAGAACCAATGGTGACACAAAGTAAGGATCCCTCCCAAATCCAACCTGGTGAACCAGTGGGCTTCACTGGGGGTCCTTACCAAAGCAGAAATGACTCAAAGACAGTTATGTCATCAAAGACACTCATCTAGCATTAGTGGCAAGCCCTCAGACGCTGGAAACCCAGAATGCACTGTGCAAGCTCAGCAGGCTGGAGGGTGTCTATTTCAGGCAGCTCAGTGTGAGACTCTTCCAGGTAGTTTGGTTGGCCTTAGATTAACTCATAGCAGTCCTCGCTGCTTATATTTGTTTGAGGTGGAGAGCACCCAGTGCATCTAGTTAGTTTCAGGGACTTCCTGAGGCCCTCGAGTTGCTTACTTCCTGTGGTTACCAAACTTCCCTCCTGGATCCAGTATTCTGCTTCCTTCTAGAATATCTGGTGTCTTAAGCAAGCTTGCCTCCACGATAGACTTTTTTTTTTATCTCAAGCAACCACGTAAGTGCTGTGTGAAAGTAGCATTTATTTAACTTAATAATGGCCCAGTACAAGAATTAATTGGGAACTTGCTTAAACCAAAGAAAAGCTGTGGGTGTGCTCAGTTTAACTGAAAAAATGTGGCCATTCTCAATAAGGCAAAGAAGCCCCGTACTTCGCTGCTAAACTCGGAAAGGCCGTGTCGCTCTCCTGTTGTGCCTTGTTCATACCTAAGGGATGTACACGAAGGAGGGAGTGTTGCACGCAGAAGATTTGGGGCTCTGTGATTTCAGGGGAAACCACCGGCCACAGAGTGCTCCCAACATCCAAGTGAAACAGAAACAGAGAGCTGCCCAGAGTGGACTCTGCTCACGGATGTTCACTGTCCAGGCCCCTGCTGCCTGTGATGGCTGCCTGAGCTCCCTTTCATGACATATCTGCCTACTGTTCTCTTGTCCTGCTTGCCACATGGGCTTATTTGACCAGGCTAACCCCCTCCCCCAGCTTTCCGCATTGACAGCCACCCCTCCCTTCCATGACTGTATTATTATTACTATTATTATTTTTGATACTCATGTATGTTTGAACTCTTCTTTGACCACGCGGGTGTTGCGCACAGTCATAGTCTTTCTGTGAAAAAAAATGCATATTGTTTGTAGGAGGGGAGGGACTCTGTCCAGCTTTGGACAGCACCTTGTGCATAGGGAGTCATCAGCAAATACATGTTGAGCAGATGATTGAATACCATTATTATTCTCATTGGAAAACACTTTGAAACAACACCTCAGTTTTAAAGATGTACTGAAAAGCCAGGCATTGGTGGCACACGCCTTTAGTCCCAGCACTCGGGAGGCAGAGGCAGGCAGATCTCTGTGAGTTGGAGACCAACCTGGTCTACAAGAGCTAGTTCCAGGTTCCAGGACAGGCTCCAAAGCCACAGAGAAACCCTGTCTTGGAAAAAAAAAGATGTACTGAAAAATTACCATTTCTAGTTGTCATTTAATGGTGTACAGCAAGTTTGAATACTTCTAACTCAGTTCTAAGTCCCTTCTATAGTTTTCTATCAATGCTCTTCCCTTGTAACTTCCAGGAGAGAAACCTCAGTGACTGTATGTATTCGTTACCATGATGAACAAGAGACTTGCCACAGGCTCATGTTTAAAGAAATCAAGAAACATCAAGAAAGGAGCCCGGTCTCTTATCAAGCTCACACAACCCTTCTTAGAGCATGTGAAACTCTTGCCTTTCTCCCTATCTTCTTATCCCCCTTCTTTGTCTTGCCTGATTTTAGAGAATGTGCATGAAGAGACGGTTTCTCAGTCTAAGCCCGAGACACAGTTGGATGCTCTTTCACCATGTGGACTCAACCACACACCTATGAGCCTCCCTCGCCCTTGTTCCGTTCCTCGGCCTCACACACTCATCGGCTCGCCAAGTTGGACTTGTGTGGTTTGATTTTGGGTGTTGTTGGCACATCCTCTGGGGCACACAGACATTCATTCACGGCACTAGACTGCTCCACACACCAGAATTTGCCAGAGAAAAACAATAACCTTCAGCTTTTGCTGATGGGTAGGCTAGTAAGAACTGACCCTCATAGGCTACTGCAAAGGTCTAAGACTTTTGGAAGGACTGTGGGCTAGAGCCTCTCAACAGTGTTTTCTGTGTTAAGTAGGGGGAAGCAATTTTCACAGCAGGAAATGGAATTTTCCTTATTACAGCTATCACAGCCTTCCTTCTTTCCATTTCCTCCTTCTGGTCTTCCTCTCTCCTTTTGCTTCCTGCCCTCCTTCCTGCCATCCCTCCCTCTCTCCCTCCCTCCCTCCCTCCCTCCCTTCCTTCCTTCCTTCCTTCCTCCCTTCCTTCCTTCTGTCCTTCCTCTGTTCCTTTCCCTTCTATGTCCTTCTTCCTTCCTGACTGCCTCCTCCTCTTCCCTTCCCAACCCCCTCTCCCTTTCCTTTTCCTCCTCCTTTCTTCCTCTCCCCCTTCCTTTTCCTTCTCCTCCTTCTTCCTCTTCCTCTCCCCTTTCCCTTTTCCTCCTTTCTTCCCGTTCCCCTCTCCCTTTCCTTTTCCTTCTCCTCCCTCTTCCTCTCCCCCTTTCCCCTTTGCTTTTCCTTTTCCTCCTTTCTTCTTCTCCCCCTTTCCCCTTTCCTTATTTTTCTTCCTCTCCCCTTCCCCTCCCCCTCTCCCATTCCTTTTCGTTTTCCTTCTCCTCCCTCTTCCTCTCCCCCCTTCCCCTCCCCTTTCCTACATTTCTTATTGGACGGTTCCCATCACTCCAGCTTTCCCATGTGCGCATTCAGAGCCAGTGTGCAGTCACAGAGACAAGTATGCTGTGAACTTGATTTTGGTCATGATGGAGGCCCATCACGTAGCCGTGAGAGCCAGAAAAAACCCACCATTTCTCTATCCCAGGCTATAGGAGTCTAGAAAGGTAGAAAATCCTACCGATTTTTTTGGAAAAAAATTTTGACTGAGAACATGTATCAAAATAATTTTCTCATGATCTCTATAAGATACAACTGCCTGCACCATCATATAGCATGATGGACAGAGCAAAGACATGAAAAGAATTCAAGTGTCCCTCAATTGATTAACATCTCTAGAATGTGCGTGTGTGCACATGCATGTGCATGTGTGTGCATGCGTGTGTGTGAGTGCGAGTGCGTGTGCGCGCGCATGCATGTGTGCTCATGTGCATGTGTGTGTGTGTATGTGTGTGCGTGTGTGAGTGCATGTGTGTGCATGTGTGAGTGCATGTGGTGCATATGTGCGTGTGTGCGCATGTGTGTGTGTGCATGCGCAAGTGTGTGCATGCATGCGTGCGTGTACATGTGTGTGTGTTTGAATACTGTTCAGTCATGTTCACGATTAATGAAAAAATTCCAAGCAAGGAGTAATATAGGTTTGTTCCACGTGATGTGACTTGTGGAATCTGAAGAGTCTGCTTTCACAGACACTGGGAGTGGACTGGCGGTCACCAGAAACTGGAGGGATTAGGAAGGCAGGCAAGGGGGAGGGTGTTGGACAGGTACTAACTTACAGTCACACAGGAGGCAGGAGTCTCGGTGTGCTTGCAGACAGTAGGGTGACTACAGATGAGAAGAACACAGTGTGTGTTTCAGAAAGCCAGAAGGAGTGAAACGGCTTCTATCACAAGGAAGTGACAACTAATGAGAGAAGTGTGCTTAGCTTGGTTTAACTGTTACACAGGGTGATGGTTTCTCATGTCTGCTTGCTGCAACTCGGAGTGCCTAGGACGGCCTGGATCAGCTCAGCCTGGGCCCGTGGGCATGCATGCCTGTAGGGGCTGGTCTTGGTTGGTCATTGGCACAGGGAAATCCAGGCTGTTGTGCACAGCTCCATTTCCTGGACCAGGACTGGGTCTGAGCTATTCAGGACAGGAGAAAGCTAAATGACACTCAACAGGCAGCGTGGTGCGTTCGTCCCTGCTGCTCTTGACTGCAGATGGGGTGCTCCCGGCTGCTTGTGAGCCTGCCTTGATGTTTTCTGACATGATGAATCGTAACCCAGAATTATAAACCAGATTATCCCTTCCTCCTTTATACTGCTTCCCTCAGGACATTTGTCTCACAACAGAGAGGGGATTAGGTACGTACATTTCAAAATATTTCCTGGTTCTACACCGATACAAATAATTTTTATGTTTTTATGTCGTAGCTAAAAACAGAAGACTGTAAAACAGTGTGGGATTCAGTAGCATTTCCTGTGTCTCTACTTCTCTTCCAGAAAGCCCAGAGCCGGCTAGGAGAAAAGTGTGGGTGAGTGTGCCTAGAATGTCATGTTTGTTTGTTTAGATTTTTTTTTCTTGTCATGACATCAAGTATTCGGGTCCAGGGGAGTGGCCAAACCCTCCAGCACCAGTTTACCACAGAGTCACCAACCACGTGCCATGTGTCCATAAACTGTCCCTGTTCCTGTTGTGTGACCCCAGCATAAAAGAATGGGTCTAACTCACCAGAGTCCATGTTCAGAGGACCTGGGCAATGCCGGCACTGCAGGCCACATAAGGGATAAAAGTCTTGATCTTAAATCTTTAAAGAAAATACACTGTAAACTGTGACTTCCTCATCGCGCATCTCCAAACAAAACAAAATCTGAGCCAGGGGAGATGAGCCTGGCACCCTGTCTAAGCAGTCCAGCTGTTCTACGGATTCTGTAGGGGTGGGAACAGCCTGCATCCTCACGCCTGTTAGCGTTCACGTCTGTCCCCTGTAGCTTGGAGGAGGCCCTATTTACAAACGGCAGGCTGCGGTACTCACGGGAGAATGGTGATTGGAATCCGGCGCATGGGTGTGGAGTGATTTTCCATCACGTGGCAAAAGCTGAGCATGGGAGTTGCAAAGACTCGTTGTGAAATGGGGTGACCACAGTTCTCAGTGTTCTCAGCATAAAGTGAGAACTGTGTGAGGTGAGGCCTGGCTAAGTCACTGGCTCAGTCATGTCACTAACCCTTGTACATTACACATTACACACGTCATGTTGTCCATGGTGAACACACGCACTGCATCGTCCATGGAAAAGAGGAGTTAAAAGCAGCATCCAACTCCCTCCCTCTCCCCTCTCTCCCTCCCTCCCTCCCTCCTTCCCTCCTCCCTCCCTCCCTCCCTCCCTCCCTCCCACTTTCCCTCCCTCCCTCCTTCTCTCCACCCTCCCTGCTTCCTCCCTCTCTTTTTCCTTCCTTCCTTTTCCTCCCCCTTCCCTATCTTCTTTCTTTTCATTTTAATTTATTCTTTGATTTTTCTTTTTTAACCCATTAAAATTATCAGTTTTTTCACAATCACACACACACATGCACACATGCACACACGTGCAGACATACACAGACACACACAGGCACGTGTGTGCACACACGTTCACACATGCGTACACATAGGCACACACAGGCGCGCGCGCGCGCACACACACACACACACACACACACACACGCACACACGCACACACATGCACACAGTACTTTGAGCATACCCCGTCATCCTGTCACTCTCTTTCCCTTTGTCCTCTGTACTTCTTCCTGCCAGCCCCATCCGTTCCGTGTCTTTGTTTATGGGGTCCCACTCTATTTAATGAGGCTGCCTTCACAAGGATGAGCAGGACGACCCTGGCTAATCTAGAACAGCTTCCTAGGGGCCACATCACTGAGGAGTGTGGCTCCCTCACTCAGAAATTGAGCCGCCTAAAGCCCCTTTGGTGGGGGAGGGGCCTGATGAGCTCCTCCCCCGCTTTCACGATGGAATGTTGGCAGCCTCACCATGGCTCTGCCTTCTTTCTTGAGTTCCACCATGGAAGCAGTGATCGCAGTGAGTACACTGAGCAGAAACTCATCTTTCCCCTGGGCACGTGACCAGCATAGGAAACAGTATCAAAACAGGTAAATTTGTCCAGTTTGGATGCAACACACACATCTTCTATTGGACAGGCAAGGCTTGGGCTTACTGTGTAGCTGAGGTTGACCTTGGATTTGACCCTCTGACCTCCCAGTCTCTACCTGTGAAGTACTAGGATTACAGGTGTGTGCACCAAGCCTGGCTTACGCAGTGTGGAGCCTGAACCTAAGCCAGGCAAGCATACCACCAAATTAGCCCCATCGCCAGCCCCACACCCACGACACGCATTCTGATCCTTAGGACAGTTGTTAAACGGAGACCCTGAGCTCCTTCAGAGCAGGGCAGAGCACTCTGCTCACATAGACTTTAAAAGTCAAGTCTCTGCGGTCAGAGGGTCCTTGGGCCAAGGAATTAGCTTGATGTGAATGACAAGGCATAGAGCCACAGGCATCCGGTGGCCAGCCAAATCCGTCTGCCATTGCTTCTGCCTGAGAAGTCCTCGGGCTCTTCTGGCAGCGTACATCCTGATGAGTCTCATCGTGAGTGAGGGATTCTGCTGAGCTGGGCAAACCTTCCAGGCTCCTCCTGCGGGTGTGTTGTTCTGCAGACCCTGGCAGAGTAGCCTGCCACTTCTGCTTGGTCATGGGAGTGGGAAGTTCTGGTTACTGAGATAAAACCGTTCTGGTCCAGTGAAAGGAAAGGCATGAGGCTTAGAAACGTGGGGACGAAAGAAAGTTCCTGGCGTCTTTCTATTCTCAGTGCATAGCACATGTGTCTCGAATCTATCGCGTATCTATTCAGACTCCAGTGCCTTTAAGTGTCAACTGGATTCTTTGTGTGCACTCAAACCGATTATGCTACAGATTACGCCTGTTCTAATAGGATGATGCTTCACCTAACGCCCCAACACCTTGTGCGTGCGACCCCTGAGACAGCACCTTGTGCCAGGGCATTTCATTTGAAAAGTGAAAGGTCAGAGGCAGAGAGAGCAGCTGGGTAGGGTCGTCTAAGTTGTTTCTCCACAGACGGTCGAAGGCTAAGAGGTGTTGATACACCCAGTGATCGGTCACAAGTGCTCAGGAGTCAGGTGAGGTAGTAAGTGCCCGGGGTTTAGTGAAACAAAACAAAATTAACTGAGGATGCAGGAAGAGGATTGCTGTCTCTCAGCACACTCCAGGTTGCAGGATGGGAAGGGCCCCTCCCACTCCATACCAACTCCTGTCCTACACTCAAACCCTAGCAGGGGCTGGGGAGACGCAATTAGGAATACTTAGTGCTCCCGCAGAAGACCGTCTGCAGGTCCCGGCACCCACGTGGCAGCACATATCAAGAGATCCAGCACCCCGTAGGCTCTCATACACATGTGGCCTGTATGATCTCACTCAGCCTCACACACATGCAAATGAATTTTCAAAAACAAAATCGTAAGAAACCAAAGCTGTAGTGGTGGACCTGTCATAGTGTAATAAACCCTGGGCAGAGTCCCAAGGGCCCCAGACTTTAGCTTAGAACCCAGAGATTGAGAATCTACCTTCATTGCACAGGGCAGCTGCCCACCCCCTTCTTGTCTTTCCCCTCAGGTGTCAGGGAGGAAAGCAAGGCTTCATCCGCTGAGGATCGGGACACAGAAGCTAACACCAGACAGTCTGGGGACCTAGAGACAGGCCTGCTGAGGTGAGACAAAGCACTCACTAGAAACTGAACGCCCCACATGCAGACAGATGCTCAAGGGGAGCCTTTAGACCACTCTGGCATCCGACAAAGACCTATGCTCTGGGAGGCAGAGCCAATTTCTGACCGTATCAATCCCAGCCTTGGGATGGGTCTGAGCCACAGCCTTCCTCCATCTGAGACCATGTAGACCTCCGTGAGACTCAGATGTGACCCATTTGAACACAGTGTTGGCAGCCAAAGGATCTTTTCCAGCTTCCACTTCTCTACCTTGGACATCACAGCTCTGTCAAGCCAGGACTCACAGTCGAGACGCCACCTGAGCTCCAGTGCGACAGATGAATGAATGCCTTGGACCACATCATCACCAGCTATGTGGGGCTGGAGAGCCTTTCTAAGACAGTGCAGGCTCTTGGAGCTGGGAGACTTAGGTATAACCTACTTAGCAACCACCTGTGTGGCCAAAGGGCTGCCTGTTGCCAACGCATCTCTTGCCTCAGTGGTATAAAAGGGGCATAGCCAGGGTTAGGACAGAAAAATGAGTGTCAGCTTGCCCGTGGAATTTGGTGTTGGACCAGCAAAAGCTAACAGTGGAAAGACTATAATGCCCGCCCCCCATTGCCAACTCTGCCTCTAGATGTGGCTCTAGTACTGACACCTGGCTACAGCCTGTCAACTCCTGTCCTAATGAGTATCAACTGTCACTGGATACAACCAGCCCCAGCTCCACTGAAACTATAGGTAGACACATGGGGCATGGTCATAGCCCCGTTTCGTACTGGTTCTAGTGGGTTGTCAGCTCAGGGTGTGACACAACTGGATATCACTGATGTGAGCAGGTGCTGTGGGATAGCTGTACTCTGTGAAGGTGCATTGCTGTGATTGGTTCACTAAAGAAGAGCGGAGTGGCCAATAGACAGGCAGGCAAAGGTTGGGCAGGACTTCCGGAGACAGAGAGGAGTCTGGGAAGAAGAAAGGGGAAGTCATCGGACAAACGTGGAGAGGAGACAGGCAGTGCAAGACAGAAGAGGAGCAGCCCCACATAGCAGAACATAGCTTTTAAGAGCTAGTTGAGACAAGCCTGAGCTAAAGGACAAGCTCACATAACTAATAATAGGTTCCCAGGTCATTATTTGGGAGCTGGCTGGTGGGAGAGAAAAAGACTTCCTCTATTTGGCGTCCAAAACGTGGCACACACACAGAGCCAACTATTTGCAGCATACAGAGGCCAGGCTCATTTAAGAGGCCTTGCTACAAGCTGCCAATACACTACTCCGCAGCAGGAGATTAGATGGAAACACTTGCTACTGCTCAGGGACACAGGTGCTTCCCAGAGCTGGGATGGTCAGAGACAGACAGCAGGGACAGTTAGGCAGACCTGAAGGGAGCTGATCCAGCCACAGTGCCCTAAGTCAAAGCCAGGTGGCAGAGGGCCTAGCCAGAGAGCCTAAGATTTGTCTCACACAGTAAGAGAACCTGCAGGCACTTAGTGAAGTCAGGTCTAGACTAAAAAAGAAATCTCAAACAAACACAATATGTCTGAGTAGGCTTAGGCACTGAAAAAAAAAGAAAATGGGTAAGGATAGTCATAGGAAAAAAAACCTTAGAAATAACAAAGTCTTTAAATAAAAAAATAAAGCAATATGAAAATAATCAGCCATGTAAAGATAGAAAATACATAGGGTGTCTAGATCCTGTATGATGCCTGGTTGGCTTTGATTTTTTATATGCTAATGAGCAAAAAACCAATAGCTGCTGAGAGACACTGAATTATGGAAACTGCTGAATTGAACCGACCTATATATTTTAAGAGTGTATTAACTTCAGACTGGAAGTCAGAAAATACGTTGCATTGGGGGAGAGGTTTTGCCTTCATTTCCACAGGAAACAAACAAAAAAAAGGTTATGGTTCTTTTCAAAATTAATGAAGATCAGATTTGTTCGGGGGAGACCTCCTCAGGATCTTGGCTGTGGAAATGAAGGGAAAAAGCCAAGAAAGACTATAGGGCAGGTGGTGTATATGTTGGTCCATCAACATGGGAACAACTCTGAGATTAGGTGAGGCTTGGTAAATCTTGTTGGCTATAGAGTCCTCACAACTTATTATTACATGTCATTCTTTCATCTGGCATGGATAGAGGTTTGGTTATACATTCCAAACAAATTTATAAAGTTAACAAATGCCTTTTACCTGCTCAAACATAAGACAAAAACAAAACATCTTTGACTGACTTGCGCACAGTGTACATGTCATACCTGTGTTAATGTAGATATATATGTTACCCTTAAAAGTTTGTGTGTTTTCAGAAAAAAAAGGACCAGACACTGATGAAGACAAGTAGCCCAGGCAATCCACCCTCTCAGAATGCCTCTGTTGCAGTTTCCTCAGAAATCTACATCCAGAACAGCTTCAAAGGTGCTGAGATGGTCCAGCCACAGATTTCTCCAGCCAGGAATTCAGATAAGCCCTGCACTTTCCTATCACACAAACACTGGATGACAAATGATACTTGACTATTATCCCAACTTTCTCAGGGTCCCCCAAAGATGCTGGTGCCTCCAGCCAACAGGAAGCAGTCTAGAGAACACAATGGCCCCATTCCCAAGAGGTGGGGTGGATGTTAGTCATCATTTAGGGGGCTTGATTACAGGTTGTTACTGGTAATGGTCAGTAAACAAAGGAGATTAGATTCGGGGATCTCTTTCTGAAGGGAAAAGGGGGTGTATAGAATAAAAATGATGGGATAAAAGGGTGGATTTTTGAGTCTACTTTTGAACAACCCTAATCTCAAATTCTTTACATTGGTATGGATTTTTTTTTAGGATAATAAAAGGTTAATAGGTAGTAATCTATGAAAATCAAACTTACAGTCATGTTACTTATGTTTTTAAGGTCAAGCAGGGATATATTTTAAATAGACAGGTGGTCTTCAAACACTTTAGGGACCTACAGAACATGGTATTTAAGATGTTTTAATAACATAAGGTTTTTCATGACAACGAGACACGTCTATTCCTGGTAGCACCAATTTACTTCAAAAAACGGAAGATGGACACTGAAGAACCTCCATACGGAGTTTGTTTCCAATGTGGCAAAGCCGTTTGGACAAGAAACTGCCCTTGCCTTAACTGATGACAATAAGCTGTCCAAACTGGACAAATCAGGACACAAAAGAATGTGATGGCCAAACTTTGCCAAAAACAAGGTAGGATAGTCCTTCAAAATTCCTGTTTTACAGAAAAGTCTGTAGGTTTAAGATGGATGCCCCACCTTTGTAGAGGAACCTTGGGGTAACTGTCCAGGCAGCCATCTGTCTCCTTTGTTTCTATAGTTTTGGAAGTTGCCTGCTCTGTACTTCCTGTGTACTATGGTAATATTATATCCTTCTCAGATCTCTGATGGATTAGAAGACAAGATAATTATAGTTACAGTTTTCCTTGTTATCAAATTCAGAAACTGACATAAGACATGGAATGTTTATAAGATTGAGAAACATAAAAGCTTAAGTTGTTTATCTAAGAAGATGCTTTGGGTTCTAAAAATATATACTTTTAGGATGGTAATACAAGTTAGGGTAGAAGGTAATTAGGTATAAAACTTTGAACTCAGTAAGACAGGATAGATAATACAGTACTTTCTCTGAACTCGCCAGATACAAATGGACTGAACACTATGAATGAAATTCTAACCTGATAATTGTTCTTATTGTATATAGTTTTACTGTGTTGGAGTTAAAACCTTTCCTTTTTATTTAGACAAAAGGAGGGCAATGCTGTTCACTGTGTGAAGGTGTTTTGCCATGATTGACGTAATAAAGAGCTGAATGGCTAATAGCTAGGCAGGAAGAAGTTAGGGGACACTTCCAGAGACAGAGAGGACTCTGGGAAGAAGAAAGGCAGACTCTCCAGCCAGACACAGAGAGTAGACAGGAGGTTCGAGATGGAAGGGAGGTAATACCACATGGCAGAACATAGATTTTAAAATATGGGTCATTTAAGTTATAAGATCTATTTAAGCCTCAGCTACAGGCCAAGCTTTCATATGTAATAAGTCTCTGGGTCATTATTAGGGAGCTGACTGGTGAGGGAGATAAAGACTCACTACACACACGGGTGGCCTAGGAGGCCAGGGCTGATCCAGACAGAGTCTTCCTTGTCTAATCAACGGCAGAATGAGGCATTGAGGGCTCCTGGGATCCAGCTGGGGTCTGTGAGGCTAACAGGCTCTTGCAGGTTGCCCTCCGCCTCTGTGAAGAACGCTTCAATGTCTCGGCACTCTCGTTTGCTTCCTATTGCGGTGATAAAGAAGCCCGTGGAGGAAAGGGTCTACTTGGCTTACAGGTTATATATGGTTCATGTCTCAGTCAATGTTCTGTTGCTGTGAGAGGACACCATGACCACAGCAACACTAGTAAAAGGAAGCATTTAATTGGGGGCTTGCCCACAGTTTTAGCAGGTTTAGTCCGATCACAATGGTGAGAAGCAGACAGGTACGATGCTGTAGCAGAAGCTGAGAGCTTTACATCCTGATCCACAGGCAGCAGGCACTGGGCCTGCTATGGGGCTTGGAAACCTCAAAGCCCACACCCACTCCAACAAGGCCACACCCACTCCAACAAGGCCACGCCCCTCCAACAAGGCCACACCTTCTCTAACAATGCCACGCCCACTCCAACAAGGCCATACCTCCTAATCCTTCCTAATCATTTCATCAACTGGAAACTAAGTTTGCAAATATGAGAGCCTATGAGGACTATTCTCATTCAAATGATCACAGCCTGTCATTAAGGAAAGCCATGGCAGGAACCCAGAGGCAGGGACTGAAACAGAGGCCAAGGAGGAGTGCTATTTACTGGCTCAACCTGCTTTCTTATACAACCCACCACTACCTGCCCAGGGATGGTCACCACCCATAGTGGGCTGGACCCTCTCACATCAGTCATAATCAAGGAAATACCTCACAGATTTGCCTACAGGCCAATCTGATGGAAGCAATGCCTTAACTGACACTACCTTGTCACAGATGACTCTAGCTTATGGTAAGTTGACAAGAATACCAACCAGCAGTGTATCGTGGGTAAGTTTGGTCCAGTACCAGAACAGTGACAGCGCACCACGAGCAGAGTCCTGACAGAGTTAAACGTATACGCAGTAGGAAGTAGGAAGACGCAGGCTCAGAGAAATTGCAGAGCTCATCTTAAGAGTTTAGCCAGTACGGAACGCTGGAACGAGTATCTGAACTTTTAGTGCCCAGAGCTGTCACGTGCCAAAGCCCCTGGCGATTTTGGGAAACCTCGATCTCTCACCTAGCACTGATAGTGAGGCCCCAGACACTGAACAGCCACCAATCACATGGGAGACACCTTGAGAGTACGAGACAGCTGCCTTAAGGGAGCTCCCTTACTAGCTTGGTAGCAGGAAAACTCAGTGAAGACACGGAAGCGATAGAACAACGGGGGGCAGAGACCCTTGAGCTGAAAAGTTGCTCTCTGTGAGCTTAAGAATGCTACCAACGGCACATGAGGCAAGAGAAATCAGACATCAGGAAGAATTAGCACAGACTCGGAAAATGCAGAGGTGGAGGGGAGGTCTGTGAGGGCGTGAGGGAAGCTTCTGGAAATGTGGGAGCATTGTCAGAGAAACGAGTACTGAGGCCATCGGGGTTCCGAATTGGCTCGAGGATGCCAAGGGTTAGAAATCACTTCCAAGGAAGTGACATCAGAAAACACAGAAGGTTACAAATATCCAGGTCAGGATCAATCAAGCAGCCAGACTTAATTCAGTTAAGTCTGTCTGAAGACATCGTATAGTCAAGCTCTCATGGGTGAAGGATAAAGAGAAGTGTCTCAAGGTTTCAGCAGAAAAGGAAGAGCGTTTGGGCAGCCTAGTTCACATGACCACACCCCTCAGGAGGGATCTCCTGGGCCAGGAGAGAGAAGCACCAGATTTTATTTCCACTGCGGGGAGGGGGGGAACCCTGCAAAAATCAGCCAAGGGCATTGTATTCAGAAAAACAATCCCTTAGATATGAAAGAGAGACAGAGATTTTCCCTGAAAAATGAAAGCTGAGAGAGTGTGCCTCCATTCAATCTGCTCTACAAGCAATGCTAAAGGAAGACCCTGAACTAGAAAGGGGAGGCGTGAATTAGTAAGGAGACAACATGGGAAGGTATGTAGAGTGCACACATCCTCTAAGGAAAACTCTGAGAGAAAGAAGGAGAGAAATATTACTAGAAAACCAAGTTGCGTAAGGTTGTTTGTAAGACCTTTATATCAATAATCCCCATAAACATAAATGGATCAAATTCTTCTATTTAAAGACACAGAATGACTGAGTAGATAAATAATAACACCCAACTATATGTCACAAAAGCTTACTGGACCCTTAAATATGTACATGACATGGATGAAAAGAAAGCATGATTATTCGTATCAATAAAGTAGACCTTATATCTGAAGAGGTAAAAGAAGCTGTTATATAATAACTCACCAATTTAGCAATTCTAAACCTATATGAACCCAGTGTTTGAGAAACTAAATATGTAAGGTAAAGTAATAACCGGCGCAAAGAGACAGATACACCCACTGTGGGAACAGCCTTGGGTCTTAACACTTGCTTTTAGCAGTGGCAGATTATCCAAACAGAAAGGCCACAAAGAAGCAGGACTGTGAGATTTCATCTTGCATAAAATAAACCCAGCGCATCTACAGAACATTCCATTCGATAGGTGCCACGAATACACATTCTCCACGTCATTACAGGGATGTAATGTGCAGGATACATTCTCCATAGGGCACAAAACAAGCCTGGCAAAACTTAAAAAAAAACAAAACTGAAACCATGTCAAGTGCCTTTTTCACTTAGAATGCAATTCAGCTAGAAGTCAGCAGTGAGGGAAAACACTAACAAAACCGCCAATTTTTGGACACTCATTGGATCAAGGAAGAAATAGAAAAACAATCAGCATTGTCTTGAAAATACTCAGCATACCAATGCATAGAGGATACCGCCAAGGCAGTGCTAAAAATGTTTATACAAATCAGTGGCTATATATATAAAAAAAATAGGTTTGAAGCAACTAAGCTGCCAGTAGAACAAACCGAATTCAAAAATCAGTAGAGGGAAAAAAAATATAATCAGATAAAGCCGTGAAATGGGGACTGCGGTGCAAAAGCTCATCAAGACAGAGAGGTAAAGAAAACAAAATGGAAAACAAAATGAACATAGGGACTCCCTTTAGCTAGTGCAACTGAAGAGAGACAAATGTCACTCAAGTAAAAATAGACCTGAGTGGAGACATTGCCACGCACTACAGAAACCCGCAAGGCTCTTAGTGATCTCTAGAAACATCTGCATGCAAGCCTCATAATTAGAAAGAAATGGAAAACTTACAGACACATACACCTTACCAAGAGGGAATCATGAAGATTTAGAAAACTTTTACTGTGGCTTATGAAATTGGAAAAGCAACAACAACAACAAAAATTTCCCATCAAAGAAAGTTTAGGACCTGGTGGCATCAATGTGGAATTCTACCTAAAACCGTAAGAACAGCTAATGCCAATTTTCCTTATTTTATTGAGAACAATAAAAGAGAATGAAATCCCTCTAAGCAACTAGATGGCCCCTGTCACCTTTGTGCCAAAACGAGGTCAAGAACACAGCATAAATGTAAAACTACAGCTCAGGGTGCTTGCTGGAAGCTGACATTAAAAATCCCAAGCAAAACACCAGAAAATCAAATCCAAT